GCGTGATGCACCGCCACACTGGTCCTGCACCGGGTATTATGGTATGGGGCGGTATTGAATATGAATCTCGCACTCCTCTAATACGCATTGCCGTTACTTTAAACAACCAGCGCTACATCTACGAGGTGTTAAAGCCAGTTGTCTTTCCTTATCTTCAGGGCTTGCCCACAGCCGTATTTCAACAGGATAATACACGACCACACGGGGCACGCATTGTTCAAGGGTTCTTCGTCAATCGCCAGATTGAATTGCTTCCCTGGCCGGCTCGCTCTCCGGATCTTTCTTCAATAGAAAACGTAAAACGTGTGGTCCATGGTTGCTGAACGATTGACCGAGATTGCATCCCAAGCTGTCACACCAGATAAACTTGCAACGTGTGGAAGCTGCTTGATCTGCTGTACCCCAAGAACACATCCAAAGTATCTATGAATCAATGCCGAGGCGTGTGGCAGCGGTGATCTCCAACAATGGAGGCTACTCTGGCTACTGATTCTGGAAGATACCACACTTCGCAGAAATCTATAAATTTAATTATTTGATACTTGGTCAACATGTTATCTATTAAATAAATTTTGTTGTGATATCTGTTGTCTTTCTTGGTGTTGCAATTTGGGTGGCCAGCAGTGTATATATCATTGTTTTTGCATGATACTTGATCTATTTTATACGTGTGGATGGATTCTTCCAATATAGTCGTATGTAAAAACGTCTAAAAATTTAAAAAAAAAACTAATCTTTGAATTAATTATATTGTTACAACAACCGCGAGTCATTGAGTTTCGGAACTTGATAGATTGAACTTGAATGTAACAGTGAGACACAATGGCAGCGACCGTTGTGTCTCACTGTTATATTCACTCAGCTTCTAAACACACCTGAATCAACTTCAGGGATTCTAAGTCGTGTTTGCTCGCATGCGTCAAGTATCTGAAACAAACGTATGGACGCAATTTGACTTTCGAATTTCAGATTCTGATACATTTATATCTGATATATTTCAGATACAAATATATTCAGATATAAATATATTTCACATACAAGTATATTTCAGATACAAATATATTCAGGTATATTAATTAATATAATTATACATAAATATAATATATCATTCATATAAATATATTTCAGATATAAATATATTTCAGATTTTGATATATTTCAGATTTGATTTGATATATTTCAGATTCTGATATATTAAACTCTTATGTTCTGTTAGGATTCTGCCTGCAGCGGACATCTATTATTATTCGAGCTGTTAGAATTTGTTAGACTAAAGAACTAATAAAACGGTTTGTTTTAAACCTTCTCCTGATTTGGTAATACATTATTTAAGAATTGTAACGGGAAGATTAGTCGCATAGCTATTTTAATGGAGCCGGAATAGATACTTTAGATAAGCAGCACTATAAATAAATAGGTCCTGTACACAAGTCGTATATCTTTAATTGCATTTTTATTTTTAAATTACTCAGATCTATGAAAAAGGGACATGATGTTTACTAAGAAATATTTCAAATTACTTGAAATTTACCTACATGAATATATTTTAAATTATATATATGTCTGTTAAAAACCTGAAAAAATAAATACCAACACAGCTGTACCGTGAAAGTAAAAACTGAAACTCACACTATTTCAAATTAGTAAAATATCATGAAAAAAAAATGAGAAATTATGTATTGAAAAACAATATTATCATGCTCGTAATCTCAATGGAATAATAGTTTTGCATATAGTTAAGAATATCTAGCTAATAGCAAAAAATGTGTGTTTAGTATTTCACACAGTGTATAAGGATCCAACTGTTTGATTCTGAACTATCGCCGTGCATCACATGCTAAAAGTTATAAAGTTTATTAAACATGAATGTCACTTAAAATTTGGCAAAAACATTTTCACACTTAGGTAACAGTTTAAAAAAATGGCTGCAATTGAAAGAAATTTGGAAAAATATATCCCTAAAGCACAAATACAGCACAAATAATCATTGAATTTTCCCCCTCTTTAAAAGAATGGGCTGCATGCAATATCTTCGAAATACATAAATGTTAATATTCGTCTAAAATTAATTTCGAAATTAAAGTTAACATTATTATGTTCTGTTAAAGAAACATACGTTTTCAACAAATTATCACATTCAAGGCATCGTGAAAGTATCCTATCCGTAAAAGAAATATAAAAGCATGAAATAGTCGTTGATACTCAGAAATAGTAAATGGACAGGATGAAACTAGAGAACATCAATCTGCCATAAGAGTGTTTTTATAAGATGTCTATCAGTTTTGAAATACAAATAAGAGTAAACGGAGACTACGTTGATTTCTGAGGCATCTTCTGACTCCCCCACATTCTTCAGAGCTCTATAGAAAGCTACAAAAAAAAATAAAAGAAGGAAAAATTTAAGATAAAATTCCGTACAAAAAGTTTTGGAATAAAGGACTCAAGAAGAAACAGAAAATGTTGTCGCGTCCAAGAATAACCATAACGTAGAAGAATCAAACAACACATCGGATAGCTATTGTCATAGCCGGTCGATTTTAGCCCTCAAAGAGATTGGGACTTTTTCTAGATAGATACGATCGGTCCAATCTGTTTGGAGTGCACCCCTGGGAGCGTTCCACCAAAATGAAGAGTGGAAAATGGCCAATAGGAGACCAACATCACCTGAAACAAGAGCAACACGAACAAAGCATGAGAAAAAAAGGTACTTGCTTTTTAGATTATTTTTTCCCTCAGTTTTTGTTTTTCCATTTACTTTATGCTGTGTCCCTTTTAGAAGAAACGCTTTTTTTATTTGTCACCAGCACTTTCTGAATTAGATTACCGTATTTTTTTGGGTGTGTGTATTTGCTTTATATCCTCTTTTTTATTAGTATTGTGGAAGTATATAATGTAAGTTTTCTATCTCTCTTTAAGTTATGGGGATAAGAGTTTAAAAACATTATTTCGCTTTATTTACATTATAATAGTATAAAACTAGTTAAGAATTAAGTTAAGATTTAGTTAAGAATACAGAAGTATAGGTATATATTTTAATACAAAATAAAGAATTTAAAACACATATTAGAATAGTATAAAACTTTATTAGTTAAGAATAGGGAAATATAAGTATATATTTTACTACAAAATAAAGAACTTCAGGAAAGAATTTTAAGATTCAATACACGAAGACTATCATCTTATACAATTCATTTGAGAAACTTGTAGAGAATTAGGATTTTAGAACCCAGTCGATAAAACCTGGTGGTGAAGAAACATCATCTACGACATTTTTTGTCCGGGCGCGACTGTAGAGACATTATTTTTTGGGGGAAGGGGAAGTAGTAGACGTGAAAAAGGTGTAATGCCCTGACCGGGACTGGATCTTTCGAATACTCGTCGAGTGTGCTATCATTACACCACGAAGACATGCAGAAAGGAGAGAAAATATTAGTAAATATTTTAATCAATTATTAAAGTATTTTTTTACTTTTTTGTAAAGCAGTGCATACCAAAGTTCAATGCACATATCTTAGGGATATTATGCGATTATATTTAAGGTTCTGTGTCTGAAGTAATGTAATTTTATGATATGTTTGAATAAAGTTTTAAATTCAGTCTCGGCTATTTACTTAAACAGTTCTACTTCCACATATTATTTAAACACTGACATCTTTGCATTTATGTGTAACATTTCTACCTCGACGTGTAAATCTAAAACTATTATCATGATATGTATAGTTAAATTACATACTTCGACTTCTATAGTTTGAAATGCATAATATTATTTATTATTATTATTCGAAATCTAGGATATAAAACATGAAATTTAATCTACAACTTTATCAGAACATGAGTAATTTATTTAAAACAAATTTATAACAAAAAACGTGATATTTTTTAATGCTAATTAATATATTTTGCCTAATAATATTTTTCCATGGCAGCCATTGCTTGTTTACATTTGAAACAGCAGAAGAGTAGATTTGTTGCCAATCTAGATAAAGTAAGCTTTGTAATAACAAAGATAACGCCATCTTTTATTATTGCGAATAACGCCATCTTTTTTATTGCGAATTAAATCATGTTTAATCCATTCTGGAATTTATTCGAGGAAATAAGTGTTTAAGATTTACTTCATAATTTTCAATACGGATATCTTGAGCTTTAATAAATTTTTGTTTTGTCGCGAGTGAGAACTAAATTTATTGAATGAAAAATACTGAGTCGCCTATTCAAAACTAACTTTCTTTGTTGTTGTTGTGCTTTGCTTAATTTCTTTCATATATAGTTTTAGATTTATTATAGTATTTGATTAGAACCTGTGGCAATGATTAAATAATTGTTAAGATGATATAAATTTTGTGTATTCTGAGTTGAAAAATGAACGAAATGTAACGCTGTTAAGTGAACCTTGGTCCAGAGTGTCGCTGTGGTAAACAAATATAGTGAATTTTAAAGAGTGCATTTATTTTATTGTGGCTTATGCGACATCGACGAAGTAGATTTAATTCAATCCAATACGTTTAAATGAAATGCAAGAAAAAATGGGTCTAATTTAATATTACGTACAAGGAAGTCATGTGGTGCACACATCAGAATTTTATTTATTTATTTATTTATTTATTTATTTTTTTTCCGTGGGATAACAATCTCGTACGCTGGAGGAAAAGATCTGCTTTATTCCGAAAGGTGTTGCAACTGCTCGCTTTCAAATCGTAGAATTTGTTAAAAAATGTGCAAGTTTTACAAAACATGAAATAAAATAACATTGCCAAACATTAAATATATTATTAGTACATAAAGTTATGCTGTGGCGTAAAAGAAAAATTTCGTGTGACGCCATTATTTGTCGAAAATGTTCGTTAACAACAGCATTTTAAATAAACACCAGTTGTTGATAACTTATTTGTTTTAGATTAAGATAATTAACACAGAATGTTATTGATACGTTGAATGTTTATTGATATTGAGAAAACATTGTTATATTACATTAAATTTGAATCATGATGTCATCCGTGTTAAACTGAAGCATCAAACTTTCTGTTTTCTGGTTTAGCAACAACAAAATATTGGTTGTTGCTTGAACACTAGTGTTTGGGACACTATCCTGTTCCGCAAAGAAAGAATAAAGGAAGAATAAACTAATATTATTCATATTGAGTTATTTTTATGCATTCAGTTGCAGTTCCACATTGCAACATAGGTTGAAAGCATACACATAGCAACACAGATTATTCTTGGAAACAGTTGCACATAGCAAGATAGGTTGCTATGTGCAACTGAAAAGTTGCACATAGAACTTTTAAATTTTGCTTTGGCCGCAACCAGCTCATCTGCCGGGCTTTACAGCTAGTTCTTTTATAATAACTGAAAAAAAAATTATAAAAGTAGTAGTTATTGTTTTTAAATTTACATAATATATATTCACACATTTCTTAACAATGGCCTCATAACTTACTGTTAGGAAACTTTATTACTGAAATTGTATATTAAAGTGTCGATGGATTAAACATGCTTAACATATTAGCAGGATAATAAAGATTGAAACTCAATCTTTATTATCCTGTTCTCTTTATAATGTTAAAATTAAGCAAAATAAATACGAAAGCAAATAAACTGTAATAATCAATACTAAGTGCAAACACAATAAATAACAAATAAAATCATAATAAATAATAAATGAAAACGTAAATAACATAATAAAATATTTAATGTAAACGGAGAAGGGAAATGAATTTTTGATTAAAAAATTTAATGTATTTAAATGTCTGAAATTGCATTTTATGTCACGATTCTGCTATATATAATAAATAATGTTATACTTTATAAGGTATTTCTCTGTGGCTCGTACGAAGCTAGTTAGAGAAACGCTTCTTACGCACACTTTTGATCCTGCAGGGGAAAATTAAAGCGTACTAATTTTAAAATAAATTTCTTAGTCTTATTACATGGATTTAAACAAGCTTACGACAATTTAAATTTTGTCATTTTGGTTATATTATATATATATATATATATATAAACTGTTTCTTTCCTGGAAAATGAAAGACGAATTTTAATTTTAGAAAAATATGTAATTTAGTTTATATGCGTATACAAAAATTAAACTACGATTATAAAAAGAAAAAGGTACGAACTACATTTTACAAAGTTTTAAATGTTTTAACGTTCTTATTAAATTTACATCCGTATTAACTGTAAGTAAAAGCTTACACGCAGCAGGTGTATTAATTTCGCCTTTCCCACTGAATTTAGCAGCATTACATATTTTGTTTTCCGGTTACGGTCCGGAATTTCGAAACAGCTGCTTGCTTAAGGCAAAAATGTCGTTTGAATAAAACTTTATTTTCTGTAAGTATTTTATTTGTTTCATTCCACGATGCGCATTCTTCAAAACCTTGAGATACGAAGATTTAAAAACTGCAGCTAAATTTAATTTCTGTAACTTCAATTAGAAGTTATTTATAATTCAGTCACCCAGTTGGAAGTTTTACTTAAATGTAACATAATCGGAATAAAGATGATTAGCAATAAATAAATAAAAAAAAAAAAAAGCTCGGTAAGCTTTCAGATTAAAGATTACGTCGAAAGGTGGCTTTTTTTTCAGTTACGCATATACATGCACATTTGAAGAACATATAGGCTAACGCACATTTGGATAAAAGAAATAAAAAACTGCATATCCTTAGAATTTCGGATAGTTTCAAGCGCTGGAGATAAAAATGCTTTTCTCTGAACTGTGTTGCCACTCCTCGCTTTGAAATCCTTGAATTTTTTATTCAAAAATTCGTTACTGTTTTACTAATTATGATATGGATTATCAAACATATTCAAAGTTTAAAATTAGGACTTCCAGACACACATATTCGTGTTTAGGACTACGTTATTCAAAATTTGATTGTTCTAGGTAATGTTTCTTAACAGTGAAAGGAACATACATATATTCATGCAGATTCTTGATTGTCTAATTTCTTTATATAAACTACAGAACGATAATTTTTGGTGGTAACAATCTCAAAGCGCCTTTAGTGATACGACGCAACATGCCTAATAATCCGTCTAATAGTCCGTCTGGACTAACGCTTCTTTGGGCTAAAAATAAAAATTAATTTTTTTCCCTTGAAAAATGTCTCATTGAGTATCTTTGCATTTTTATATAAATATAAACATTACGTTTCATACAGTAACATACGAAGCAAACAAAACATAAAATATGCATCATGTTAGTAGAAAAATGTACTAGCTATGGAAAATAAGAAACAATGAATAAAATCTACATATTAAAAAATCCAGTAAAGGCTCAAATGTTCTATTTCTATTGATGGGTAATACGTTCAAGCATTACCGTTTCACTGGTGACAGATTTGTCTCACATGCAAAATTTTTGTAATCTCTTCTTTCATTGAAAAGTACATAGTTTATAAGTACTTTGTGGTTCTAACTTTTTACCTTAATCCATCTAGCTAATATCATTTTATAATTTTGGCAACAGCTTCTAGCACATCGTATTCCTCAGAAACAAATGTTTCAGAATCACATTCCCAAGCACATTTTTACCATCAGGATCATTATAATTCACCCATTTCTGAATAGTTAAATTCCAACTGGCTTAGTTGGTTTTTCGTTTTTCAACCAAGTTTCCTCTGGTTACTTCTTTTATGAAATATCGATCTTTATGTATTCACGCAAGGGGTGTACACTGCAGGAAAAAAAAAGGGGGAGTTTCAGTTCTGCTGGGCAGGTCATCGAAATTCAAATTGTGTTTTTTAAGTCTCGAAAGCGCGACATAGTATATATATCAGATTTATATATAGTATTGTTCAAACATGGGTATTTTGACACAAAATCGGACATTTATGATATAATATACCGAATGTTTTTCATATGTCAATTCTACGACTCAAAATATGAGTAGCTATTAAATTTTGTAATTTTTGTGAGAAATTTACGGAGAAATTAAAAAATTATCTTTTCACATTTTTTCAGTTTGTTCCAAGAATAATTTACTTGGCGACTTCTTAAATAAATAATTTATAGCAACCTATTTTTATTTTATTTATTTATTTATTTATTTTTTTTTTTTTTTTTTTTCATTCTACGCGAGCGGAAGAAATGTCATCGTTCTTACTTTCAAGTAATTCTAACAAAGTGCGTAAACCACATCTGGCAGCTTTATTGCTTATAACAAATATGCGAAATTTCAAAATGTTCCAGTATGTAAATTCACGTATAACTTAAGAAATTTTGAATACAAAACTATAGTTTTTTTGCAGGTATACTTAGAAATGCATCTATTTTAAGATGATGGTAAAAACTTTAAAGGTTATAATTCAAAACGTTTTCAAACCCTAGTCTTTCATGATAGCTTCTTTCCCTTTGACAAAAGCCTGCGTAAATTTTAGCTAACATGCTAACAAAAGGAAAACAAAAATGAAAACTCAATGCAATTTAGCAAAATTTTATTTATTTGATTTTTATCAAATCGATGACGTGGCATTGCTATTAATTTTTAATACTTACAAAATTTATATCATTGCTAGAAAAATACCTAATGGCATGTCTTGATTTAATTGCGACTGTAAATATTTCTGTTAAAACCTTTCACAACTCCTAAGGGCTCATTAAAATGAAAACACATTTTCCTACAAGGTATTTAAATCACTGCGTCTCATCTAAAGCCAGAAAGAAAAGGAAAGCGTGAGAACCTAATCCGTAAGTAATAAAGCTAAAGATTTAACCTTTGATTACTTTATTGGTTTCGGATAAAGTAAATGGCGTGCAAACAATTTTCTTCATATTACTTTTGCTTTTTACTAAGGCTGAATACGAGCAAACATAATTGTGATTCTCTTGTTCTTAATCATTTCGAAATATCTGCGGAAGTATTAGACTGCGCTTAATAAAATGCAATTATTTTCTTTTGGCCTTTATGTATTCTCAGTAAAATAATGTACTTAATTTTATCACAACCAGTTATCAATAACTGTTTGAGGCAGTAAAAGGAGTAATAATGAGATAGGCAAAATTATTATCATGAGATTAGAAGTTAATTACCGAATTTTTTAATATAACGTATTTCTACCATCTTCTCAGTGTGCTATCGTGGTGGAATGGCCAGCACACTTGGCGCTTATTCGAGAGGTTCGAGGTTCGAGTTCCTACGAGGGCATTGCTCATTTTTCATGTCTGAAACAAAAAAAAAAAAAAAAAAAAAAGTCTCTACAGTGGCGTCCGAACTACAAAAGGTGGTGGATGATGATCCTTCATCACGAGAATTTTACAGTTGGGTCCCCTAATCCCCAGTCGCCCTTTAAGAGGGGGTGTATAAGGTATTTCTCCCGCCTTCTTAGCGTGCCTTCGTGGTGTAGTCGTCAGCACGCCGGTGCGTATTTGAGAGGTCTGTTTTGATGTCTTATAGTATAAACTTGTGGCATATGTATAAATATAAAGCCATATTAATGATCTGAAATTATATAAAATGCATTGTAATGACATTCGTGTCTCATTTTGAATATTAAATCGTTAATAATTAAGCTGTTGATTTTATTTTGTTGCAATTGATTAAGGAAAAGCACGCGAACACGAAAGTGCTCAAGAACACAAAGCTCTTTTCATTGTTTGTATGATATTTTGAAACAGTTCCCTTTGATATGTTTTAAAATTGTGAGTTAAAAATCATAATTTAAAAATTGTTCACATCTTGCTGCTAATTTGAGGCTGCTCTTAAACGTTCATTTGTGGCTCTAATTAGAATCTAATCCCTTTCCTAGTTCTTTTTATAACGATACAGTTCTTATAAGTATACATTTTAGATTTGTTATTAGTACTGGTTTTCTCGCTACATCAAGGGTCACCAAGGGTGCTAATAAACAAGCTGAGGCTCTCCCTAATGCTGACATCACCTAATTGAGCAAGTGGAAGATGCAAATGGTAAGTGCTTTATAGCAGACTGTTAGTCAGTGATGCCACATAAGGGCAAACCTAGCACAGTAATATTAACCACACTCTTGATAGCAATGTTATAGACTCAGTTCTATATACTATATCTCTATTCATTTGGAAAAATTCAGCACCTATCAGTAATGCTTCTAGGTCGCCGTTAATGTAGTCATTTTCTGCACATATTGATAATTTTCAGTGTCTCATATTCTTCATTCATATTTGGTGTTAGATGTACTACGTTCTGCTAATGATGAAAGAAACCGAATAAAACCAAAAGCGAAAATTACTGCTTTATTTCGTAACTTCACTGCTTACTTTCTAAGCAAAGTGTAAATTGATTGCAGCTTTCCTTACAGCTAGGAAATATTGAGAACTAAAAGCATTTTTCACTGGCAGTTTACAGAACTGACAATTATGCTTACTGA